TGTGTGTGTGTGTGTGTGTGTGTGCGCGCGCGCGCGCACACCTGTGTTGTGAGCAATGCTTCCATGGGGTCTGCCATGTTTTATAACAGTGCACTAGCCCCAGTGTTACTGCACTCCTTGACATATATCTGTTCATAGTCTTCAGATTTTTTTCTGCTTCCCTCTCTGTTAGGGAAAGCAGAAAAGTAAGACTTGGTAAAAAAGACCAATATCCTGAAGATGTAATCATCCAGAATCTTTTGAGGAAAACACCAATCGAAGTGAATGGACTATTAGGGACAAATGTAGCATTATTACTTTAAACGTTCCATCAGGAAATAGACACTGGTGGTTTATAAGTGTGAATCTACCTAGAGATGCCCCTAATTATATTTCCCTGCTCCTGACCACCCCCCAAAACTACCTGACTTTGCAGCCTCCAACAATATACCCCATCAGCAAACATGATGCTACTCCTGTCTAAACGACTGAGGTGAGGAGATACTCCCTGACAAACCCACACGTGGCTTGACCATTTTTGATAATTACCTTACTACGAAACTTGGGTAAACAAAATAGAGAGCAACAGGAACAGAATGAACAGAATGAACAGAAAAATGCTAACAGCTGCAGCTACGGCTGACAGAGGCTCTGCACTGGCTTCTCCTTCTCTCAGTGGCCACCCGGAGCCTCACTGGTCCTTCCTTCCCTATCTAGTCTCTGCAATCCCCCTCCTAGACCTCAGACCAGCCTGTCTTGCCCTCCCAGCTATGACTTTAGGCCTCTAGAAAGTCTCTCTCCTGCGGTCTTCCTGTTGCTAAAGACCTGTTCAGTTTAAGTCAATGAACTTGAAAGGCGGGTCTACCTTTTGGTGTGACCTTGTTTCCTCCTCATTGAAGATTCTAAGCCACAGCATCTCTTCCCAGTCTCTGAAAATCTGGCAGGGGGCAGGGTGGGGAAAGAGAGAGTATTGTTTACTTTTAAAGAAAGTAACCAGGTGCTCTGGCAGGTGCTTAATTTATAACTCATGAAACCTTTACCAGAGCCCTCCCACCTTACAGAGGAAGGAACTAAGATCCAGAGAAGTTTAAAGTCACATAGCCAATTAGTGCCAGAATATTCCAACTTAAGCCTGCCTGTCCCTGTCCCTGTGCTATTGCGGTATGACATTGTATCACTTCTCTAAGGATGTTATGGTTTCAAAGACACCACTTTGGCTAACAGCAACATGTGAAGTTTCTCAGAGAGCCGGGAACATTTCTGTCTCTTTCTGTTTCAAAAATCTTCTTTTTCACCCTTGAGCAGCCTGCAAGTTTTTACGTCCGATCTCAGTTGGCTTGTCGAGCCGGGATGCTTGCTATATTCGCAGCTCACCGAACAGTTGAGCGCTTGTTCACTTTTTTGGGAATAGTCCACCTCTTATTTCCTGTAGCAAAAAGAAAACACAGCCCTGGTTATTCTTACCTGACAGGGTTGCAAATGGAGTTTTGCATGCTCGTGGAATTCACCAGCTTGGAGTGGGACCATCTCTTTCTGAAGACTCAAACGTTTTCTTGGGAGAAAGCATCAACTCTCCTGCTCCTAATTTCTGGAACAGGAGAGGGGTTCCGGTAGCAAACAAGATGGTAACAAACACAATGACTCCACACTTGAAAGCTTGTAGGATTTCCAAGTAGTCAAACAGCACTAACGATATGATGCAAAAATTAAAAGAAAACTTCAGCCGGCAGAAATCATGAGAAGCACCAAGAGTGGGGACTGGAAGTTGCTTCACGGGTGCTTATTTCTTGTGAATTTCCATTTCTAAGTTCTTGGAAAGCCCTTGTTCACTTTTTGTCTCTTTTTTTCTAAGATGTTCTCTCGTGCCCCATCACTAAGAAAGGGGTGGGTCTCTCTCCCAAATCCTACAAGGTTAAAAAAAATCACAGCTAGCCTAAACTCCTCAAAGTAAGAGAATAGTTATTTCGTCATATCCGTGAAAATGCTGTTCATGTTGGTTATTTGTGAGGCTTACTTTTTTCCTTGCATAGACCAAGCAGAGAAAGTTTCAGCCCAGTACTCTGTTAGTACTAAATACACAATCTCTGGTTCTGAGCTTGGCAGTGTTGTCCTTTTTCTACCCTAAACTGAGATTTCCTTTATCCTCTTTCGCGCACTGTATTCCTTCTTTTTCTCAGCTTGTCTGAGACCTCCGTGTGCATGTAAGTAGGCCCGCTGAATGAAATACACAGCGGAATGACATTGTTCCTTTTTCTCTTGGCATTTTTCTCCACGCAGAAATGACGGTAAGTTTATTAGCATCTGCTGTCTTTTCCATCCCAAACCGCAGGCCTTCAGCCCTTTTGACCCTGCTGGAAAATAACACCCGCTACAACTACAACGTGACACTCAAACCCCGGGGTGCCTATGAAATAAAACTTGAGGTTTTTCCTAGAAAAACATGAATTTCTCCAGAGCCTGTTCAACCCCCTGGAAGCCAGCCCTGACCCTGGCTGAAAGGGCTGAAGGTGCTGCCAGTCAGAGCCCAGGCTGAGCTTGTGGGCTGCGGATCAGTGGCTGAAGGGCCACAGGAGTTGAGGTCTGGGCTTTACTTTGTCTGACTCACCCAAATAGAGCTCGGACCTCCAGATTCAACAGTTCTGTCTGAACACTTGCGGAGAAGGGCAAATCGCCTTTTAAAAAAAAGTTCAGAGATGGCTTTTATTTCTTCAGCTCTGGGAGTCAGATCTTAGAATGTCAATTTCTCATTAAGTGAATTGACTCATTATTTTTTTTTTGAGTCCGGGTCTCATTCTGCCAGTCAGGGTGGAGTGCAGTAGCACAATCATAGCTCACTGCCACCTTGTCCTTCTGGGCTCAGGTGATCCTCCCGCCTCAGCCTCCCAAGTAGTTGGGGCTACAGGTGCGTACCACCATGCCCCGCTAATTTTTAAAATTTTTTTTGTAGAAACAAAGTCTCGCTATGTTACAGGCTGGTATTAAATCCCAGGGCTCATGCAATCCTCCTTCCTAGGCCTCCCAAAGTGTTGGGATGCAGACATGAGCCATATTTAAAATATTTTTTGATTAATTTATTTTTATTTTATTTTATTTTTGAGTCAGAGTCTCACTCTGTCATCCAGGCTGGACTGCAGTGGCACGCTCATGGCCACTGCAGCCTCGACCTGCTGGGCTCAGGCGATCCTTCTGCCTCAGCCTTCCAAGTAGCCAGAACTACGGGCACGTGCTATTACGTCTGGCTTATTTTTTGACTTATTGTAGAGACGAGTGCTCACCAAGTTGCCCAGGCTGGTCCTCAATCCCTGGGCTCAGGCAATTCTCTCACCTCTACCTCCCAAAGTGCTGGGATTACAGGCGTGAGCCACCATGCCTGGTGATTCATTTATTTTTAAAATTTTAGATTCAAGGGGTATATGTGATGGTTTGTTACATGAATTTGTTGTGTGATGGTGAGGTTTGGTTTTCTATTGAGTCAGTTGGCCTGATAAGCTAAACTCTGCAAAGAGCTCAACATGCTTTGTGCTACAACCACCAGGTGGCACATGGTTCATCATCATGCCCATTGAATATGACTGGATCCTTCTGCTGCTAAAACACAGGAGTTGGTTGGCTTCACACTGACCTGGCAAGAGCTAAGTGGTTCATTTGGAACTGGAACTGGATTTTCCTTGATTGCGTTGAGTGTATTTCCCTCACTCTTTAAGAACTATATTGTTGGCCGGGCGCAGTGGCTCAGCCTGAAATCCCAACACTTCACTTTGGGAGGCCGAGGCGAGAGGATTGCCAGAGTCCAGGAGTTCGAGACCAGCTTGGGCAACATAGTAAGCCCTTGTCTCTACAATAAATCACAAAAACTAGCTGGGCATGGTGGCGTGCATCTGTAGTTCCAGCTATTTGGAAGGCTGAGGTGGAAGGATGAGATTTCGATGGCTGTGAGTGTGCCACTGCACTCCAGCCTAGGCGACAGAGTGAGACTCCAACTCAAAAAACAAACAAACAAATTATCTTGTTGGGAGTTGAAATCACATTGGAGGCTTTAGAAAGCGTCAACTACTAGTGTTACCATAATTTCATCCCAGTGAGGAATACAAAAAGCCAAGTCTTCAATGCTTTGTTCTGCATAAAAAAGTTACTTCTGGGAGTCCGGTCTGGAGCTGCCCAAAAGAATGAAATAGGTGCAATGGGTCTCTCCCTCTCCCTCTCCCTCTGGTCTCTGACTCCTGATTTCATACTCCTCCTCCATTTCCAATGCTATCCCTGTTAAATTAAAAACTGTTTAAAACATGTTTTCACTATTGCCTATAGAACCTACCAGCGTCCTCCCATTAGACCCTAGGAAATATCCAGTAAGTTCAGCTCCCAGTGACAAGAGGGGCATCTCCTCCATCTTTGCTAAATTTGTGGTGTTGTGAACACCAGGGGCCATTGTAGTTGGCTCTTCATGTATCCTGTGAGCTTCCGAGCACTTGGTGGGGCAGTAGCCTTCTCTGACCCCACCCTGAAATCTCCATCACCCCAGTGGATGGATCATCTGGGAGGATGCTGGTACCAGCTCGCCCCCTCTTTTAGTACATTGGTCACAGTGTGGTAGAAGGTAGCTTTCTGGAAAGGGAGACAGAAAGAGAGAGGGAGGGAAAAAGGAAAGAAGGAAGGAAGGAGGGAAGGAGGGAGGGAGGAAAATGGGAGGGGAGGGGAGGAAAAGAAAAGCAATAATCCAAGATGTATTACATCCCTGTATGGGAAACTCATCACACAGATCTCACCATGGTGCCTGACATCTCTGTGTCACACCCAATTATTACCCAAAGTCATGTATAGCCTCTGGGTAGGGAGAAATCTTTCACACCTACATCTTTTGCTGCTGGAACATTTTGCTCTTTCAGTATGATCAGTTGTGCTTTCCTCCATCAAGTTTATGTTCTTGCTGCCTCTTAGCCACCCCTCCCAATTCCTCTCTGATCCGGGCAGGGATGATTTGGATCTTCTAAGCCCACAGCTCCATCGCTCCGGCCGTAAGAGCTTTCCCTCCTTGTGTCAGGGGTCAGTCAGCTTTGCACAGTGGAGACTCCAGGCACAGAAAGTGGAGGGGGTGGAGGATGAGAGTGGAAGGTTTCCTTGAGGGGCTGGGGACTCAGTTCTGGTGTTTGAGTCTTTTCAGAGCTACAGTCACAAGGGAGACTTGGCTTTACTTGGAAATGAGTTGAAAAAACTTCCTCTCAATCTGGTGTCCTTCCCACCGTTCCAACCAAGTTCTGCTTGTTGGCAAAGCACCCACTTGTCCATTGATAATCTCTCATTAGACCCTGGGGAAATGTTTAGCTAAAGTCAGCTCTCATGAACAGGGCATCTCTTTCATGTTGGTTACCCTTATGGTGCTGCAAGCCCAAGGAACTACCTTTACTTCCCCCGTCACCAAGCTGGAGCTCCAGGGTGCACTGCAGCCCAGTCAGACTTGTTTCTTTTTGTTCCTTCCTTCCTCATTCTCCAGGCCTCTGGTCACCTACTCCTTCTCCATCCATCTGCCCTTCTTCTTCCTCCCAGGTTCACTTCTCTCTATCCTCTCCATCTCACCCTTCTCCGACTCTCTCTTCTTCTGAAAACACGAGGCACATTGGGAGTAAAAGGAGAGGGATGGAAGGGTAGTGAGGGTGCTCTGTGAAACTCCGGGGAACAGCACACTGGACCTGGTCAGTGCCCCCGAAGAGAGACTCTGTCCTGGCCTGGTATTCCTCTTGAAAACCGAAGGAAAGGGAAAAGGAAATCCTCCCAGACCCCCAGCTCCCTGAGCTTTTAGTTGCCAGCTTTAAACTAGTTCTTCTGCCTACCTAAGTCACGGTTTCTTTCCCAGGAGCTGAGAATGACCAAGTGCCCCCTTAGTGATGACACTCATTAGAATAGGCAGTTCCGCGCGTCACCTGCGAATAACTTTAAAACACTGAAAAAGCTCTCCCTTAGAATTCCACTGACTGTCATATGAATGCGATTGGCCCAGGTGAGCTGTAAAAGGTCACTGCAGCGATGTGCTATTAGTTCAATACACATTTTCCCAGGAGCCCTCAGGCTCTTGTCATAGTCTGAGGATATCTGCAGTGAGGTCTACAATGACAAACTTTAACAAAACACCCTCAGTGCAGACCTGTGCCTCTGGGGTTCGGGATGGCTGGGAGTGGGGCCTGCTGAGTGTGCTCGTGGGGCCCTTTCTTCCCACACCCGGGTTGTGTGATGCCATCTCTGTTCTGTTTCAAGCCTCTTCCCTGGCTCTTTACGGTACCTTGTCCAACAGCACCTGGATCTGCTTCACGCCCTGCAGGAGCGAGTCCTGAAGTGGCCACGCCAAGGTGTTCTTGGAGATTTATTCCTGAAGCTGACAAATGATGAGGTAAGGAGGGGTCCCTCTCCCCAGACTTCAAGTCTATGGTCTGTGTCTCATTTTTCTACTTCTCTTGGTGGAGAATCTGGAATCAGTGAATCTCAAGAGTAAAAGGAACCACTAGATCCTGTCTAACCTCCTTCATTCCATGGGCAGATCATGGAGTAAGGTGCAGCAGATTAAACAAATCACCCCGTGAGCCAGGTTGCTGGAGATCTGATGAGTGCCCTAAGCTAGGTCTTCTAACTTCTAGTGTAGAAGTTTCCACTACACTACAACTACCTCTACTCAGTACGCATGTGTGTATATAGATGTATGTATATATATTTGTGTGTGTGTATATAAAACTCACATATATACATATAAATATGTGAAAGTTTGTATATATGTGTGGATTTTCACACACAATTTTCATTCCTTAGAGATTTTTAAAAATGTGGATGGGTGGCTATTTGTCTTGAATCTTTCTTTCTCTCCCTCTCTCCCTCCTCCCTCCCTCCCTCTCTTCTCTTTCTTTCTTGAGACAAGGTCTCCCTTTGTTTCCCAAGCTGGAGTGCAGTTGGCACAATTACGGCTCACTGCAACCTTGACTATCAGAGCACCGGTGATCTTTCGCTTCAGCCTCCCGAGTAGCTGAGACTACAGGCGTGCACCACACCACCTGGCGAATTTCTTTTTAAATTTTTTTGTAGAGATGAGGTCTTGTCATGTTGCCCAGGCTGGTCTCCATCTACTGGCTTCAAGTGATCCTCCCACTTCAGCCTCCCAAAATGCTGGGATTATAGACATGAGCCACTGCACCTGACCGGTTTTCAGCTTCTTGAAGAAAAAGTGCTGCATCTTGAAGTCTCTATAATAGTCTACAAATAAATACGATCCAAGTTGCAGATTCAGATACTCACAGGGCCAGATAGTGACATAAACGATGGAGTGAGCCAGTATGGACCGGTGGGATGTGCTGACATGGGCACGTGAGTTGTTCTACAAGGACTGGCCACTCAGATGGATCCAACGATCATGGTGGGGAAAAGGACTGGAGTTGCCAGATCTTCTGGTATTTTTAGAATAGCTGAAAATCCACAATTGTGTGGCTTATTTTTAAAATATTGTGTGGGTTAATTGCAATTGGTCTGCAAGCCAGTTTTTGCCTGCAATCAATTTCTGTAAAGTTAATGATTCTCAACTGTGGGTAACAATCAAGTTTACACATTATCTACTTGCGTAGGCTCGAGTGGATATGCTGCTCGCCCTCTAATGTCACCTTGACTCCCTCGTGCTCAGTATGCTTTCTTTAGCTGAAGTTATTATAACTGTGGAAGCTGAGAATTATCTTTCCTGAGGGGAAATGCCTAGACAAATATGCAATTTATGGAAAGGCACAATTCGTTAGAAAACTTGAGAATCACTGGTCTAGATAATATGAGGTGGACTGGGCGCAGGTCTCTCATTTGGATGCAGGTTATTGAAGTGAAAGGGAATTATCAAAATGAAATATGCACCTTTCTTATTGAACAATATAACGATACTTTTTCAACTTACATGTCCCCTCTCTCTTCCTTTGGCTTATTATTTCACTTTCTCTCATTAATGCAGGGCTGTTGAGTTTTTATTACTGAGCTGTAGGGATATTTACCTTAAAACCAAAAAGCTTTTTTATTTTGTTTTGCTTTTTTTAGTCGAGTCTCATTCTGTTGCCCAGGCTGAAGTGCAGTGGCTTGATCATGGCTCACTCCAGCCTTGACCTCCTGGGCTCAGGCAATCCTTCTGCCTCAGTCTCCTGAGTAGCTGGGACTACAGGTGTGCATTGCCATGCCTGGCTAATTTTTTTTGTAGAGAAAAGGTCTTTGCTATGTGCCCAGGCTGGTCTCGAACTCCTGGGCTCAGGCAATCCCCCCACATCAGTCTCCCAAAGTGCTAGAATTTCAGGTGTAAGCCACTGCATCTGGCCCTCCTCAAAATCTTTTTCAGCATGAATTTAAAAAAAAACCCCAAAGATATTAAAGAACATATTATGTGAATGATTAAAATCATCTCTGCAACATACTCTTTTTTTTTTTTTTTTTTTTGAGTTGGAGTCTCACTCAGACGCCCAGACTGGAGTGCAGTGGCTGCTCCCGGTCACCGCAGCCTCGACCTGCTGGGCTCTGGCGATCCTTCCGCCTCAGCCTTCCGAGTAGCTGGAACTACAGGCGCGCACTACCACACCCAGCTCATTTTGATTTATTGTAGAGATGAGGTCTCGCCAAGTTCCCCAGGCGGGTCTCGAACCCGCGGGCTCAGGCAATCCACTCACCTCAGCTCCCAAAGGCGCGGGATTACAGGCTGAGCCACCGAGCCCGGCTCAACATACTCTTTTTTAATATACACGACTCTATAAAAATATTATCATTCCTGTTTTCAGGTCTTACCATGCATTTTGTTTGTTTTACAGAATAACTTCCTGGATTACTATGTTGCCTACCTGAGGGACCTGCCTGAGTGCATCTCTCTGGTTCATGTTGTGGTTTTGAAGGAGGTAAGTTAACTCGAGGTGCCATCCTTTGTAAAACTGAACACGTCACCTACTTGATGTTGCTCACCTGGTCAATATAGTCCATGTACTCTGAGCTCGTTTTCCAGGCTGGGGAATGGCCTGAACAGAGCCACTGTCCTCCTACTGGGGTTCAAGGGGCCCACTCAAGGGCCTTTGCCATGCCTTACTGACCCTCTGTTCTGCTCCATTGGAGTGACAGACAAATGATAGGTGTTCTGCGGAGAGATCTTTAGACGGCGCTTATGAGGGCGACCCCCTCCAAAAAAACCAGAATCATATGTTAGAGGGCGAACCCCTTACAGTACAGGCTTCTCCCACTAAGTGTTCTAGGAGTCCATCAGCATCAGTGTATGAGCTAGCGTTGTTGTGAGAGGCTGCATTTGGCTTTGGTGAATTTTTTGGGAGATTTTTTTCAACGCATTCGTCCATTTCATGATGGGTGATTTATGAGCACATCTGCCCACACTGACCCACACTGAGTGTTCAGTAGTTTTTGACCAAAAAAAATGACACAACCCTCATACCCCACCCTCCCTAGTCACCCGATTTCGTTCTGCGCAACATTTTTTGTTTCTCTGGATAAAAAAAGTCCTCAAAGGGAAACGTTTTGCCCATGTGGAAGAGGCGAAATAAAAAAATGGCAGAAGCATTACAAGGCATCAAAATGGTCGAATTCAAAAACTATTTTGGGTAGTGGACAAAACATCTCGATAGGTATACTGCATCAAAGAGAGTACTTTGGTGTTCGAAATTTAAACACGTAGGAATACACAATCTTTATAAACAAATTTCAGGGATTTGGGTGTCCCACCTTGTATGTACATACTGCAAATGATAGGTGTTTTTCAGGCTCAGAAGATACGAACGTGAATATTAAACTCAATTGTCCTCTGTCAGCTTATCAGATCCTAAGGGAATTCTAGTCCTGGTGCTTTTAAGTGCTGCTGCTGCAGTGACATAGCTGGTGCTCAGTAAGCAAAGTCACATGTAAAACCATTCGAATTACTGTAGGTCGGTAGGAAAAACCTGTATCAGGAGCCCCATAGGTGAGAGGTCATCATGTTTCACAGGTGATGAGGGGCTCTGTCTTACTAGCTTTCTGCTTCAACACCCCCCACTCCCAGCTCAGCACAGATGTCTACCACATGTCAGCATCCAGCAAATATCCGGGGAAGGGAAAGGAAAAGAAGGAGGGGAGAGGGAAGGGGCGTGGAGAAGGTCCCACGTGTGTTCCACTGCCAGGTCCGCTGCCTGGTTTCTAATCACACTCCCTCCCGCCCTCTCATGAGCCTCCCAGCCACCCTTCAGAGCCTGTTAGTGAAGCCCCATAATGATGCTTGCTGGACAATCTTAATGAATTCACGCCATCTGATGTAACTTGTTGTGTGCCTCCTTCTGTCTAGTGCTGTGCTAAGATGAGGGGGAGGAGAGGACAGGTTGGAAACTCAGGCAGGTGCAGAAGATCAATGTGGCATGCTCCCTGCTGGAGGAGCGTCGTCTGCTTGGGTGTGGCCCTGCACCCATGGCCTCTCCAAGGGACTGGTGCATTATGACACCCTCTGGGAAGGGAATACTCTGGTAGTCGACCCTTCCTACTCTGGTGGGGATGACTCTGGGGTTCTGCTGCCAGAGCAGGAGGGCCACGGAAGAGTGACCCCGCCTTTCTTTCTTTCAGGGTGACGAAGAGATTAAATCTGACATCTACACTCTGTTTTTCCACATCGTCCAGCGCATCCCCGAGTATCTGATACATCTGCAGGTAGGCATGGCCGGGCAAGCCACCAAACTATGTCCCTGCTCAACTGTGGTTTGTGGCTTCCAACTGAGAAATGCTGTTCAGGCTCAAGCCTCATTCTACTTCAACATGTGTACCTGGCTTAGATTGTTAGGATTCCCTGTGCCCCATAACATCCTGTGGCATGAGCTAAAATCTCTTTCTATAAATTTTTGGCTCATGATGTCTACTTGTGAAGTTCTATCTTTATTTACCAGTGATGTCCACCTCGGCTGATCCAGGATGTTTCTCTCACCACTTCTGCTAGACTCTGAGCACTCATCCAGCCTCTTCTGCTTGGATTCAGCCACCTAAATGCTACCTCTAAACATCTATCTAACCTGTCCACTTGACCACAGTCCTGACGACTTTCTTTTGGCTTGGGTCCGAGGCTCTGTCACCCAGTGCTAGGCTTTATGTCACAGAACGGGCATGAGCCGATGAGCCGACTTTTTCACACCATTTTCCCAAGGGCTGTAGCATCTTAGAGAAAGGAGAGTTGAAGGAGGGGCTCATCACCGTCTCCTCCCCACCCTCAGTCTCTCTCCTTCCCACCCCCCTCCTGACCTGGTGGAATTGCTGAGTGGTCTTCTTCAGTAATTCAGTGAAAGCGTCTTAGAAATGCTTGGGATTATCTCAGGTAGAAGTAGCCCAGTATCAATACTGAAAAGACTTTCACTTCTATATGGTTTTAGATCCTAAAAGCATTTTGTCACAACGATCTTAGTCTCTTCAACAAGCCCATGAAATGGGTATTATCAGTTTTTTCCATGAAAAAATAAAGGGCTAAAGAAGTTAAGCGAACTGCCCAAGTTAACACACTTAGTAGGTGAAAACTCTAGGACTGAAACCCAGGCCTCGCAAGCAGATAGAATATGCAGCTCTGGCTCTGCTGTCTGACTTGAGTCCAAATCTTGCTTTCATTATTCACTAGATGTGTGACCTCATGAAGGTCACTTAACTTCTCTGTACCTTGATTTCCCAACTTGTTGAATGGAGGTCATAAATGTGCCCATTTAAGCAGGTTGTGGTAAACATTAAATGAGATAATATATGTAAAAGGCTTAGTACCCAGTCATAGGAAGTACTGAGTAAATGTTGGCTCTCCCAAATCCAAGTCATACGCATGTTGCTCTGCAGCACAGTAGGCAATATCATAGGAGGGGCCGCCAAGCTTGACCACAAACACCCCCTACCTGGCTGCCTTGATGCCTGATGTTCTCATCATTAGTCTGACTCATGTGAGTCACGGCCTTGCTTATAGACAGGCACTGTTAGAATGCCTCCATTACTTCAGAGATCTAATTAGTAGAAGCTTCTAACTTTTCAGATGAAATTATTTTATGTTCACATCCAGCTCAAATAGGAGCGTTAGTGACTTATTTCCCCTTGATGTGATGGACACAGAGCAAATTTGACCTTTCAGCTTATAATTAAATGGACCATACATATTGTTGCTGGTTGTGTGGATTAAACGGCTAACAAACTTGCCCAATGGCTCAAGATAAGATGCAGAAGAGACCAATTTTCATTCTAATTATGCAATGTGCTTCCTTTTTTCCTTCATCCAGAATGTCCTGAAGTTCACAGAGCAGGAACACCCTGACTATTACCTGCTACTGGTGTGTGTTCAGCGCCTCCGAGTGTTTATCTCACACTATACCCTGCTGTTTCAGTGCAATGAGGACTTGCTTATTCAGAAACGGAAAAAGCTCAAGAAGTAAGGTTCTGATGGTGCAGTCTAGGGGGTGGTGGACCAAAGGCTTCTGAGAACAGGGATACAGACTTGTCACTATGGGTGTCTGTCACAAGTAAATGGACTGTGTGTTAAGTGGCTGAAATGCAGTAATGGGAAGTAGAAGGGAAGAGAGAAGGGGAAGGGGAGGGAAGAGAGATGGCCAGGCTGGCTACAGAGGGAGATACCTACTAGCTGGAGGAAATTAGCAAAAAAGCCCCTTCACTCCACTGCCTAGGCAGACCCTCTCTTGTCTCATATGGGACCCCCAAGACCCTGCAATTATCTTCTGGAGGGCAGGCCCCTTGTAGTACAGACTTCCCTTGCTAGGTAAGTGTTCTAGGAACCCATTGGCATCAGTGTACCAGCTAGCATTGTTGTGAGAGGCTGCGTTTGGCTTCAGTGATTTGTTTTTGGAGATTCTTTCAACCTATTTGCCCATATCATAATGGGTGATTTATGAGCGCACCTACCCACACAGCGCTGACTATTCAGTAGTTTTTGGCCAAAAGCGGCATGACCCCATGCCCCACCCTCTCTATTTACCCAATCTTATCCCGAGCAACGTTTTTTTTTAAGTGAGAAAACAGGATTTACTGAGAGGATAGAAAAGCTCCCACAGTGGGAGGGGACCCGAAGGGGTAGCCCCATATTTTTTTCCTCCTCTGGATGAAAAAAGTTCTCAAAGGGAAAAGTTTGGCTGAGGTGGAAGAGGTGAAACAAAAAACAGCAGAAGCACTAAAAGGCATCAAAATTGATGAGTTCAAAAACTCTTCTGAGCAGTGGAAAAAGTGTGTCAATGGGTGTATTACATCAAACGGAGAGTACTTTGAAGGTGACTGAAGTGTAAAGATGTAAGAAAACACATCTTTTTACAAGTAGATTCTGGGATTTTTTGAATCCCCCTCGTATATATGGCAGAGCTTCCTAATGACCTGGATTTTCTTCAACTTCCTCCCAACTCGTGGAGGAAAACAGAATCATTTCTGTGGGTGCTTCAGACCCTCCCAAGTGAGGGCTCCTTTGATAGAAGATGTCTCTCCCTACCAACTCCTTCTGCCAACTTTTCAGCCAGTTATCAGCTTCCCTGCTCCTGCCTCATGGCCAGCTTTTACCGTATTATGTAAACGACTTGGTTTGCAGAGGGCCCTGGAGATAGAAAGACTTCCACAGGAGGCTTCATCCAAGAGACAGCTCTTTCTTGGCATAATCTGTGTGTTCAGAGGTCCGGTTTCCCACTGTACAGCCTGATAATTATTACTTCTATCCTGTTAGGTCTTCGATGGCAAAGCTGTACAAAGGGCTGGCTTCCCAATGTGCAAATACCGGGCAAGATGCCTCCCCCACAGCAGGCCCTGAGGCTGTCCGTGACAGTGGGATCCACTCAGACGAGATGCTGCAGCCCTACCCTTCCGGTCCCAGTCCTGGTCCTGCTGTCACGTAAGCACTTGTTACTGTGGAAGGGTTACTGGCAATGCTGGTGGGTCCAGGCCAGCCTCAATTAGGAGTGTGATCCACAGGACTACTCCTCCCCGCTTGCCCTATCCAGCCCATGTGTGCTGGCCGAGCATCTGGCCGGATGCTTGGATCCCAGAGGAAGGATTAAAGTTAAGGGGGCAGGTCCAGAGAGTGGGAAGAAAGGCAGAAAGTAGATATTTACTTTGTGGATCACTTCAACTCTTGAGGCAGTAACTCAACGGTATCTTCTGTGAAGTACAACAAATATAGCCAAAAAATAAAACCCTAGAGATTACACCCAGAATGAACAATATGGCTGCCATTGCACTCTGTGAAGGGACAATAGAACCCCACGAACTTCCAAGTTAAAACAGAATTCGAGTCACATCAGTATTTCATCTCACTGTTTCTTTTCACACCTGTAAAAGTGAATCCTCATTTTCATCTTAAGACCACCAGGGTCAAATACTGTGTTAGCATTTACATTTGCATTCTTTATGCATTTCTGCGGTAGAATTAGAATGTTAATACATAAACTAGCCGAATAACCACTTCTGGTCAGTGCCCACTTACACCTGTCTGGCAAGTGAAAGTCCAGCACAACTGGAAAGCCACGCCCCGCCTGATGGTATTGATCCCAGTTTGTAAACTATGTAAATGATCCGTTGCCCATGATTCCAAAATCCGAACACCCCCATGAAATTGGGCACATTCAGAGCGACAGACAGCTTTTACATCTTGGTAGAGCTCTGTGGGTGGAAGCCCGAGATGATTTATACAGCACGCTGCCACAAGGAATATTTTTGAAATCACACGACGAACATTTCAAGTGTGCACAGAAGAGTACAACGAGGCCCACCCAACACCGTCCATATTCATAGTTATCGAGCTTAGTTTCTGCGTGCGAAGACCCCCGAGGTGGGCAACTGCCGAGTTTCCGGGGCAAGCACAGCTCGGCCAGGGCTGGCCAGGGAGAGAAGCGCGTCGCAAGGAGGGGCCAGAGGCGCGGCCCGGCCACGGGGA